GGAAAGAGTAAGGGAAGGGTGAATTTTGCCATTTAATCTAGATCCTCTCATAGATAACTATTTTTTTACTATGTACATATTTGTGTTGGCTTGAGAGCGTGTGTATATATGCGTGTGTGTGTATGTATAAAATAACTTGCATATTCATGTGAATTTGTGTGTGTTTAACTGCATGTCTTCAAATTCTGGTGGCTGGAGTACACTTCTTTTGCTTTTTGCTTCTCCTTTTGATAGAATTGAATTATTTTGTCTCAGGATTCAGGAGATTTAAAACGGCTTAATGTCACAGAAGCTTAAAATTGCTATACAATCAGCACAGGTCGTCTTGAACCTCTCAGCTCTACAGGCTCACGTTCTTAATATTACAGATTATTTTTGTTATTAGTTGTTTTGCTTTGCAAAATTTGCTACTGGCTTTGATTGTGTCTGTGGGTGGTTACCTGTGCTTATTCTGTCTTGTTCAAATAAGAACCGGCGCATCAGAATAGTCACCCAGTCAAAAGATGCTCAGTTACGTAGTGCAGTGTGAATTACTTGTGTAGGGAGCTAGATTTGTATTGTTTGCTGCTGTTAGATACATTTAAGCTTTTTAGTTTGGTGGAAGTAATCAGAAATTTGTAGACCACTGTAGTCTTTTGAATGAGATCTAAAATTCTTCTGAGAGGAAACAGTATTTTCACTTTACTACACAAACTTATTTAAAATTGGTGATGAACTCCCAGAAATAGCCGTAAATGACCTGAAAACATTGGGAAAACAAATTTTATCTTAAAATAACTAACTGAATTTTTAAACTTGGTTGTCATCTGTCCATGCCTTTTGTAAAACCATTCCTAGAATACCAAATATTATCCTATTACAGAAATCTTGCTGCACTTTGTCAAAATACTGGATTGTACAGCAGTGTTGGTTGTCCAGTCATATTTTATATCTGTTTCAGAACGAGATTGCCCATTTCCTCACAATCTTGTCATTATTTGATTACTGATGCATCTTATGAGTTAGTACAGATTATAAAATCCCCTGCAAATCCGCTGTGTGTTTTTACAAGCTAATTGCTTGCACGACACATAACAACATTCACTGCAACAGCAGAACTGAGAGCTCAGATATTATGTGTTTATCAATAGGATTGTACTGAGTAGTTTATTTGCTTTGTGAATTGATAGAAGGTATCACATTTGTGGCACAGTTCAGATAGGACTTTAAAACATTGTGTGGATGTTTATATTTTGTTTAGAAATCCCGCTTTAGGCTGTTGTAAGATTTGATTATTTAGGCATGAAAGAAAACGTTAGCGTTTCTGCCTCTGAATAGCGTCGTCTTACAATTCATTTGCTTTTTTCACTTGTGCAGTGTGGTGTTTGTAGAAACGGATGATTAATAGGTGATCTGGAATAAAAGATGTTTTCTGTTCAAAGAATAATCTTGCAACTAGAGCTTCCTGGAGTTGAATTTCAGGAAGCGATCCTATTGCAGTAGGATAGGCTTTGGTGTGACTAGCACAAACGTACCCGGAGTCGTGGTGTGGTTATTCATAGAAAGGATCAGTGAGAGAGTTTCAACCAAATAACTGTGCTTAAAAAAAGAGAGAGAGAAAAAAAAAAGTGTTGCGTAAGTAATCGTATTAGGACATCTGATTTAGGACCGTGAATTTTGTGCTATTCTTAGTTTTGGGATACTTGAGAGTACTGTGTGTATTTTTTGGCTTAAGTTCTTCCTACAGAAATGATAATTGCATAGTGAAGAGGAAAGCATTCTTTGTGCTTGTTTCTGGACAACTGAGACTCCAAATTTGGTTATAGGATAAGAAAATACAGTTACCACAGTTTTCAGGCTGTGTTTTCAAACAAGTTTCTTACACTGAGTATTGCTGCTGCCGATTTTCTCCTCTTTTGCCTGTGGACCTTTTTGACTGGGCTTCTCTTTTTTTTTTTTTTTTTTTTTTTATCTTGGTTGTGTGCATGCGCTTAGAGAGGAGTCGGGAGAGGTGGATTGGGAATGGAGTAAGCTTCCTTGCTTGATGTTTTAAGAGACGTGGGGGGATTCTGCATCACTCGGGCTAGTTGCGATGTGGTGGCCAACGTCTGTGCCCCAATGCGTGGGCTCGCAGGACATTTTAAATAGTAGCATCCACAGCATAGCTCCGAGCTGTCTTTGCTTTTGCTTATTAAGACTCAGATAAGTTTGAATTTGAGATATCTGAATGAATTTGTGGCCATGAGGCAGAGTGAGGTGCTTTTGCTGCAGTTCTAGCAAAGTCAGGCAAGACTTTGCAGAGCTCCAAAGAACAAAAGGCTTTCCTCCTGGGGAAAAAGGGTCCCTCTCATGAGTATCGTTAAGGTAGATTTGGAATAGACTGAGCTAACAAACAGAGCTTTCTGGCTTATTTTGGGAGCGCTGCTGCCTCAAATTAATCTGCCTCTACTAGGGGTGTGGTATTTCCTCGGTGTGGCAGACGATTGGATGGCATTTGAAAAGTTTCAGGCAAAAGCTGGGACCAAGTTTGAAGGGAAACCCTTAATGCCATTTGTGTGGTAGCTTCCTAACGATCTAAAGACCGGCAGAATTCATTTATCCAACGCTCAAAGAAATTGTACGTTTTCTTTGTTGGTTCTGCAGGCACATTTTCAAGCAAAGCTAACCTGCCAGCCACTCATATACTAGAGCTGTAGGTTGAAGCCTGTGTACAACATGTAAGAGAAGAAACTCCATTGGAATCGCAGGACTTTCAGTGTTGCCCTTTCTCCTGCTGTTTTAATGGATGGTATTTTCTCTCCTGCTTTCCTTGTCCCAGTAATGGAATTTCAGGCAAACTACATATGTGCAAGTGCATTTGAGATTTGCATGTGCTTGTTTAAAGGAATGAATAAGATATGTTTTGATTTGAGAATTTCTGGTGAGTAATTCCCTCTAAAAATATTTTCTTTTAGAGGGAAAGGGAATTGTTTGGAAGACCTGCGGACTTGGTACAGCATCTTTCACGCATTTCTGTTAATTTTTATTCCTGAGTTAGAATGTTTTAAATGCCTTAAGGACTTGAAACCTAAAAAAGATCCAGTAACCACAAAGTGAGAATTTATGGATGCTGTCTTCAAAGAAATTCAGTTGAAGCAGTAATATATTGACCTCAATGGAAAATGTAAATTACTCTTTGTTTACCAAATGCGAAATGTTGTTGGGTACTAAGTAATGAGGGTGTGTATGTATACGTTTATATACACACATTTAAAATCTTTGAGTTAATTAGACATAATGTCTGATTGATAATGCCAGATTTCTGTGTTGCTAGCTATTTTTCCCCTGTGACTTACGTTGGTGGCTTTTGGGTTGGCTGGGGGGCGAGGCAGGCTTTCGTAATTACTTATGTATCTGGAAGGAAGCTACGGTAGACAATGTAACTTGTTTTGGTCTTTTACAGCATTTGTTACTCTGTTAGATGGAGAGCAGGCTCAAAATGCAATTCGGAAATTCCACCAGTATTCTCTTCGGGGAAAAGAAATATCAGTGCAACTCCAACCAACAGATGCTTTGCTGTGCATTACTAATTTGCCCATTTCGTTTACATTGCAAGAGTTTGAAGAACTTGTGCGTGCATATGGCAATGTGGAGAGGTGTTTTTTGGTCTACAATGAAGTTACTGGCCATTCAAAGGGCTATGGCTTTGTGGAATATATGAAGAAGGACTCTGCTGCAAAGGCGAGGCTGGAACTGCTGGGGAAGCAATTAGACGAGAACACGCTCTTTGCACAGTGGATGGATGTTAATCAGCTGACCCCAAATCTTATTCACTCTAAGTGCCTTTGTGTAGATAAATTTCAGAAAGACTACGCTGATTCAAAAGAACTGATGCAGACTTTCTCACTAAAGTATAAACCTGTATTCTGCCAGGTATGTTGAATTTATGTCTTTTGGAAGATCAAGGTTTATGATTTAAATAGCTCTGTGTTTACATACTTCACTGCTTGCTGTCTTGTCTTTTTATTTTTCATTTAAGCAGCGAATGGGTATGCATGTGCATTGCAGTATGTGATGTGGTACAAATGTTTTATTGGTGTGGGTTTGCGATGGTTGATATATATCATCTGGGAATTCTGCAGGAGACCAGTCCCATGGAGTGCCAATAAAATGTTTATAACACATCCTGTCTTCATGTATTTTATTGAATGTTATTTCGGAAATATTTTAGAGCTTTTAAAGTAAATGTTAATAAATGATTTTATTGCTCAGTAAAGAAATCTAGAGTGTATAAGCACCATAAGTGCAACTGTGTAGATTGTGGAGAATATATATAATTGATATCTTTTAGGAACCTCTGAAAATATCTGATTTGTTTTTTCCATGGCTTGGGTTTTCATAGCTGTGAGCTTACTTGAAGTGCGACATCTTTTGGGAAGCTTGCAGGTACAGAAGAAATAGATTGTTACTTGTCTTTGCAAGTATAAAGGTTTCCTTCTCATCTGTATGGCCTGTGAGATACTAAACGGCAAGTAAAATGTTGCTCGTAGAAGTCCTGCGGAGCAGTGCACCGTAGACAGGCAGCAGAAGGAAAGCTTTGTTTATAGTCACACAGTTGGGTATGATTTCACTTGTTTTTTGTTTTATTAAGCATTTCGGAAGGCTGCTCAGGGATTAGCTTCAAGGATAAGCAACCAGGGATTTTGAGCATCTAAGAGCAGGAGGTCCATTAGACTGTCTGGTCAGACCACCTGCAGGCCATTACGCCCCCCCAGAGCCTCTTCGGGAGCCTCAGGAACGTGCACTTGGCTCAAGCATATCCTTGCACTGGCTTCATCCAAACACATCCAGAAGTGGATAAATTGCAAGTAACTCTTTCCAGCAGCCACCTGTCCCTTGTTACTGCGCGCTTGGGTCTGTCTCCTTGGTTGGCTTCAGCTTCGCTCTGCTGGAGCTTGTTTTGTCTTTCTTTCCCGGATTGAGGAGCCTGTGCTGCCCTCTATTTTCTTCCTGTGAGAAGGTATTACACACTGTAATCAAGTCACTGCTCAATCTTTTTTTAATTAGCTGAACAGATTGATCTTTTAAAGTCTTTTACTCTGGGCCATCTTCCCAGCTGTCAGATAATCCTGCAGCTGTTATCAGCTCCCTGAACAATTTTTCGATGTTCTTTTAAAATTATGAAGTTCAAAGGCTAGCACATTTCTTTGATAAAGACTGTTTTCCATAGCACTGTTTGACTGTGCAGTTAGAAGCCATTAAAAATTGACTTTTACCTTGCTCCTTTAATCCTAATCATACATGGGTCACCCTGCATAGGTGGGGAGGGGGTGTTGTTGTACGCATTATGTCAGGTAATGGCACTAGGTACATGTTTATAAAATACAGGAATTAAACAGCATGCTTTTGTGTTGTAAAAGATGCAGCTAGTCAAAAATACACCCAAAAAACATTCTTGGCATGCTCTCATGTTACCTCTCACTTGCATAAATACATTCTATAATAGACTAATGGGACTATAATAGTAGATACATAATATTACACACAGATTATATAATATTATAGATAGTAGATCTATATCTATCTGTAGTAGGTATCTATAGTATCCATATAATCTATAGTATATAGTAGATATATAATTTATGATAGATAGTAGATATATAAAAGTAGAAGGAAAGTAGATTTACTTATGATCATTTATGTTTTATTCTCAGTGATTCTCAGAGGTTAGATGCGATTTATTCTCCGTCATTCCTCCCATTTCCGCTGGGCAGGGAAAAACCTTGCCTGGTAAGGGAGGCTTTCCCCAGGGCCATCGGGCCACGGCAGCTGGGGAAGGCAAGGAGCGCTGGCCGGCGCGACAGCAGAGCATCGTATACCCGCGCTGTGCATCTTTATCAAAACAGTGCTAGTTAATTCTGTTTTTATGAATGAGATGACCTAAGAATTAAGTACAAAGAAAGGCAAGAAAGGAAGACCCAAGAAGCTCTGGAGAAAGCAGGGAGGGGTTGTGGCACGGTATGCAGAGAGGTAAGAGAGGCTAGAGCAGCAGAAAGCTGGGGGTTTTCAAAAGGGGACGACTGGGAAGAATGGTTTAGTTTTGTCTAGTAAACTTTTGTTGGAAGAATTAATACATTTTAGAAAAACAGTATATTCATTCACGCTCTTGTTTTTTTACATCTTGATTATTACAATGTCTGTCTTCTCCTTCCATTTCTCAGTCTTGGCAAATCCAGCCTTCACACCACTCGTGCAGTTAGGTTCTCCAGTGGTCATTTCAGTCATTCTGCCCATCTCCTATTATGGCTTCTTTGATGTAGCTATTTTGTACTTCTTTTCATCCGTGGCTCAGTTCTGCTGTTAACTCTGATGCAATATTTCGTCACGTAAATGTGATACGTGAATTAAAATTCTTAGCTGAACTCAATAGAACCCTTTTCTCTTTTTCTGATTTATTTAATTTTATTCCTAAATTTACATCTTTTTTTTTTTTTAAAAAAAAAACCTTTTTATTTCTCCTCGATTGAAAATGGGAATGTTCTGTCAGGAATTGCTGAAGCCAGATATTTAAGCATGGTTCTTAGAAAACTGGCATTTCCTAGGTGGATCTTATGGGAACGTGCATCATCACCTACTTCCTTGCTTTAATGAAATGGACAACTCCTCATTCCTTTCCCAGGTCACCTTTAAATTTTAACTAGCCGGTTTCCATTAATATTTAGAAGTGGGCAGAGGGCTTTTCTTTAGTACCTGTTTATTTGGGAAGTTTAAAAATTCCTGATCCATTTGCAAAAATACTGATAGCTACGCTTTTTTTTGCACATCAAGGGAGTTTTTAACTGTGTTTGAAACCACAGTAACCCCATATATATATATATGTATATGTGTGTATATAAGTGTGTATAGAGATGTGTGTTCTCTACAGCTCTTCCCAGAGGTTAGTCTTAACAGTGGCATCGAATATTTGACCACCTTCTATTTCCTCAAAGTCATTATGAGATTTGTATTTCAGTTGTTACTGTATTTTAAGTTTTGCCGTTTGTGGGGCCAAATAGTTGGGAATAGGTTGTTTTTTCAGGGAAATCTGGAGGAGGCTTTCTCTGTTCCTGTTTATCAGAACAAGTAGCAGCAAATCGTTTCTGTTCATTTTGGGACTGGATATTTTTGCCTGAGCTTTACTCCCTCCCTCCTCACCCCTTTTTTTGTTTGGTGTAGATCTGCTCATTCTGCTTTAAAACTCTTCAAACAAAGGATTGAGCATTGTATAACAAGTAAGCCTGTTTCCAGTCTAATTGATTGATCAGTCTGGCATCTTCTGTTGGCATTAAATACAACCGCAGACTTCAGATCCTCCCAGAAAGCATATATGTCACTGGAATTATATTGCTACATGTTTCAACAACTATCATGTAGTCTTCTGAATGGCGTTTTTGTTAGTGCAGGCTTAAATAAGCTGAAAAGTAAAGAGTTTGTAATTCTTATTCTGCAAAATAAAAATTGTTCTAGCATGCGGCTATATGCTTTTTATGCTTTAAAATAACTGTTAAATACATTTCATAGCTCAGGTTCTCCATGAGATTAGATAGAAACGACAGTGCTAATTCAAGTAGGCACGGGGTGCCAGCCAAGTATAATATGAGCTATGATACTCAGGTTATATTTACCACATTTGAGAAAGAAACATATTAATTTGGGTAGGTATTAACATGGGGTGTCAACAGTTTGCAAAGTATTGTGCAGGAGTAGGTGAAAATATTGCAAGACAAATCCCTGAAATTCTGTATTTTTGTTCAGTGTATTATGACATGTTGTTTCAGTTTGCTCAGGATGAAGATAGTTATATTGGTGACTTTGCAGTGGTGGAGTACGAAACTGCAGAGCAGGCTGAGAAAGTGCAAGAACTCACAGATGGCATGACCGTCAGGGGGAGGAGAGTCCAGGTGTCGTACTGTGCCCCAGGAGCACCGGGCAGAAGCACGCTAGCAGCACTGATAGCGGCGCAGAGGATGGTAAGAGGGTCCTCCACTTGCAAAGTGAGGTGCTGAGGTCTTGAAGTGCGTGTGGTATGTGTTCATGCATACGTTTGAGTGAGCGAAATCCACGTGAAGCTTGTGTATTGACTGGTGGTGGTTGGTTGGCCAAGTGAAAGCCTGATGAAACATGAATGCTTCAAGAGTGATGCGACGCCAAAAAACAAATCCACGAAATGACTCTGTGAAGTCTTGTGTTTGTATTCATGTAACGATTGAGATCGAAAACTATTACTGTGGTAAAATCAGTTTCTTTAATCTGTTTGCAGAATGAGTTTGTTGCACCTTGAGCAACCTGAGTTGAGTCAGAGAGCTTGAGCTGTATTTGCATTAGGAAAAAGCGCTGAGTTTTTGGAAGCATCAGCCAGTTTGCGTATCTAGCTAGCTCAGTTCAGTCTCCTCCCTAGGCAAAACAAAGCCATATACTGCAAGGAGGAAGGGTAAAATATGGCCATAAGATACAACAAAGTTGTACTTGTGTAGCTTTGAAATTTAGTAAACTTAATTTTCTGTAAGAGGAATTGTTTCAATTCAGAACAAAAGTAAATGGAAGTGGAGTCACTTGAAGAGCTGTAACTTGGTTTAAAACAAAGAGACGAATTGTCGATTTTAAAATAAATTTCAGGGTAGTAAAAATGGTTTAATTTCATGCTCAATACAGAAGAAAGCTTTCGCCACCCACATGTCATATCAAATTATTTCCTAGAAAATTGGATGTGATAAGTGTTACATGAAGCTGTCTTAAATTAGTAAAGCAGAACAGTCTCGTTAGGTATCTTTGTAGAAGAGGAGATGAGTGGAGCTATTATAAGATAGCAAGCGTTGTTCATGTTAACAATGCCTTTCACATCCTCCTTTATTGATAATGCTTTCTTGTTTAAGGGGAAAAAAAGAAATGGGCCCTAGGGAAGAATAATAGGTTTGAGGCTTTTGGGAAGTAGTTAAGAGTTTCGTCTGGGGGGGAAGGAGCATAGAAAGGAGCAGGAAACATGGAAGAGGATGCTGGGATTATTTTTGTATGTTAAAATGAAATATGTATATTAATGTCACACAAGTTTGAGCTCTTTGTGGTCTGAGAAATAATAACGTGTAACGTGTAAATTGCAGTGTGGACCTGTGATTTAGACCTTTAACTACTCCAAAATCTGGGAGACAAAGTGAGAACATTCACGTACTTCTAAGTCTATTAGGAAGCAACAGGAAAAGTGTGAGGGCAGAAACTAGACGCTTAGAAAGAAAGGGGAGAAAGACAACGCTGATAATCACTGGAGTAAAGGCAGCGCTGGGATGTATTGTCAGTTAGCTGTACAGAACTGAAGTGAAATGGGTTAATTGTTTAGATTTGGGATGTGGGTGTTTCAGCTCAGATCTATATATCTAATTCAAGAAAATAGTATTTATCTAGGGATTTAATTGTATTCTTTGTTTTCTCTTGATTCTAACGTTTTTGTATGTCTCTGAATTTGAGATGAGGAACAACAGGAAAGGATTGCTTCCAGAACCGAATCCAGTGCAGATTATGAAAAGTTTTAGTAACCCAGCAATGTTGCAAATGTTAATGCAGCCCCAGTTGCGTGGACCTACTGTTAAACCTGGTAAGTTGTTTAAAGCTAAGTTAGAAAAGAAACCATGTGCTTAGTGATATAATGCTTTCAGCAAAGGAGAAAAGCAGGAATAGCCTTTTTAAATCTATGCAGACGCTTTCTCAGTGTGTCTTTGTAGACACTTTTTTATTCTTTATGAAAGCAACAGCAAAGAGGATAGATTAGGCTACTGTGGCACAGTAGAATGTGGTGTTACCTAAAAACACCCTTGCTCTAACTCTGGGCTCTCTGAATGTTTATATTAGAAGCAGATCTAAAATGAAATCTCTTTTCCAGACATCATTCAAATTACAAGCTTAAATCTGATTCCAGATCTGAACTTTGCAGCCTGAAGTCTTAAGTTCATACTATTTTTAAATGATTATTCACACTTGTTTGCTACCATAGTTGTACACAGCATTTCATAAGAACAGCACTAGCCCAAACCATTCCTCTGAAGGAGTTTGCCTGCTCAATAAGATGAATATGGCTAAATATATTAAAAGCAGTCTTATCACATTTCAAATAGTGAAAGTATTAGGAACAAGAACAGGAACAGGTCATTTGGAGAGTCAAGTGGGAGCAGCTAAGAGCGTGTGACCTAAGTATTGTACTGTTTCTCCCTTTTCGTTCTTAACAGTAGCCTCAGAAGTAGTTTTCGCAGATGTTTATCACTGGCTCCTCGCTTCTTTTGAAAGCTTGTCATTTTGTTGGTAGCTTTGAATATTCAGTCTCCTAATTTCCCGAAAATTCTCTCTATAATCTTTTATTTCTCTGTACTGCAAAACTTCTCCTTAACTGTGATCATTCTTTTAGTGGTATAAAACAAGGCATTGTACTGCTGGGAAGTCTTTAGTTTGTGTTAACGATTTAAAGCATTAATATTTTCTTTCTAACTTCACTGTTTTGTAAGGCTGTTGCTTATTTACAGTTTGAACATACTTCAGCTTTCATTGATGAAATCTGCTGATTTACTACCTCTTTATAGTTGGATAAAGAGAAATTTTGTGTGGGAGTGACCGTGTCTTTCAAAGCACTTTAGCTAATGGTCTGGTCTTGCAACCAGCTGCAGGCATTTCTGTATCTTTGAGTAAAACTGTCAACTTCAGAGGAGATCCATGAATGCACATTTGATCTCTAATATGCTATTAACCGCAGATCAAAGCTGGGTACATTGAAAGGTTTCATTATAGCGACTGTTAGTATATTAGAGATTTTTGTGGAAACCAAATCTGAAATATATAGAATAATTCTGCAAAGACCGTTTTTTTCCCTACCTTGTAAAAACCCTGTAACTTTTTCTTGTGTTTCTAAAACAGTTCTTGGAGCGTCTGCAGGTTTACCTCACCTTATAAATACAGCAGTTGGCCCAGCTTTTTTGCAGTTGAATAAAGTTCATCAGGTATGTCTCTCAACACAAAATAACTTTTGTCAAAAACAGATACTCTTGGAGATATTAGCATGAAAAAATACTTTAAGAGTTTCAAGAAATTACGACTAAAATCAAGTGTTCTCATTAAAGCTGTCTCTGAAAAAAGCACTCTATTATGAGATGCCTGAGGGGATATAAGTAACAGCCCACTGTCCTTTCTCTCCACAAGTGACTTATTTTATCTCACTGAGTTTTTGATTTTCTAGCACCTGCCTATGAAGCAACAGCTTGCTATTTCTGGCAAAAAAAAGTCACCTCTTCTAGAGGCAGAAGAGCATACATGGGGCATGCGTTCCTCTTGGAGCTACTTAGTTCCTGTTTTGTCTTATTCACGCCAAGAAGCTTATCGTTGTCTTCATTTTCAAGCTTGCAGGGGTCAAAATGTGCTATATTTGCCATAAAAAATAGTAATTTGCAGATGTTGCTTCTTAGTCAAAAATAAACCAAAGCAATAAGCTGTTTGAAGTGTTCTTGGAGTACCTGTAATTCATTGTAAAGTTGATGTGACTTCCTTATTGACTCCAGAATTTCTGAAGAAAGTTCCTATAAAGGGTATTTAGGATGAATTTACTCTAGAAATTGGTGATGAGAACAAAAGCTGGAGTAATACCCTTAGCCAGAGCTCCTCCCTTGGAGCAGTGTACTTGGCCAGCGACCTGCCTAGCTTCTGTCTTACCCTGGGGTTCACTCAGAGGCTTCTCCAGTGTTACGGCTCTGCTAAGAGCCGTAATTTGCCTTTAGTATTCATGCAGGGGGATTTTCATAAGTCCCTCTGAGGGACTGGAGTCAATTCCACCGACTTATTCTTTCTGATGTTTCATAAACTCCCATACAGCGAATAAAAACTCTTAAGTATTAGATATTTCTGCTGTTCTTTTGGCAGATGTAGGCTTATAAATCTTAAAAGAAACTAGCATGAAATGCTAAAAAAGGTGCTCTTTGCAGTAGTTAAATATAACTTTCCTGTTTTTCCCCTGAAAAGTGCAAGATGAATATATTCATTTCAAATGTTAAATATGAATGGCAATATGAATGTTTTCTAATCACAGCTGGAGAGAGGCAAGTTTTACATAGCTAAGAGTCTGACTGATGATGATCCAGTGTTTTTGGCTTAGAGTGCTGCAGCCAAACGAGTTAGTGCTCTTCTCTTTGGAGAGACTCATGCATCTAATACTCTTCCATGGAGCCTCCTGTCATATAATTAGCTCCAAACCTGATCTAATAGCCTGATTTTTTTGTTGGCAGTGATTTGATTATCTTGATTCCTCCTATTAGGCTCATTTTGCTGTTATTCAGTGACTTATTCCAGGCTGTTCCCTGAAGCCGGAGAACCGGTTCACTCTCTCTTAGTGTCCTGGAATTCAGTTTTGTCACAACGCAGGGGAGCAGACAGCATCTCGCTGGCTCAACTCCCACCCTGCCTCCCAAGCAACACACCTGTTTGACTTTTAACTGCTTTAATTTTTCTTAATTATGACTATCACGTGCTAATATAATGCATTTTAAACTTTTACAGTGATGTGTTTCCTGAGTACTAAATCTTTATTAACGCAGGGACTTCCTTTTGCAGACTCTAACCAATCAGATTTTCCACTCTCGTATTCCTGAAAGTTTTGCAGTTGAGTTAATACATTTTCTTTGTTGACAGAACCAAGTTTAGGAAGAACGTCCAATGGTATTGGTGACAATAAATGGCTGCAGATAACATCTATTGGAAAGCTTTAAGGCAATTCAAATATCTGCATAATTATCTAGATATGGCCCTTTTTTGTTTTAAATAGCATGTTTCTGAGTCCAGAGTCTAACGTTGTAGTGCCTAAGATGCCCTTGTTTTGTGTGTTGTTTCATTTGTAGAGAATTTGCAAAAGAATTTTTTTCTTTTCTCTAAGAAATCTGACCCTCCCCTGCAAAGACACAGCCTAGGCTTGAAAATATTTGTGAAGTGTTATGGAGCTGACCATAAAATGTGCAAAACCATACATCCTGAGAGCTGCCTTCTCTGTGGGTACTAGCTTCATTATCTGTTTTATGGTGATCTTTCCTGTGTAGGAAATCTCAAAAAATGAGGAAAGGCAGTACTCGCTCTGATTTCACACAGTCAGCGTCCCGTTTCTCTCTTCTTGCGCTGCTGTACAAAAAGATTTGTAGAGCAACTTATGTTTTGCCTGGCAAGTCACGCTCAGGAACTGCTGCCAGAAAGACGGTTGAAAACAGTTTCAGGCGTGTGTTCAGCTAGTATGAATCATAATGTGGTGTTGTGATCTGGTGTGGACAGAAGTTTTCTTTCAAACCACCATGCTAACCTGAGCACACAGCTGAATATACCTGCAGCAAAGTCTGAACGTGTTCTCCCAAAGCTGTTGATTAAATGCCTTGATTGTGGTGGCGAACAAAGATACTGAAATTTTGGATGAAAAATATTTTGTAGGCAGCACAAATCACAGTGCGATTGAATTGTCGGTTTCCAGATGTTCCTGGAATAGAACTTGGTGTAGGTAGTTCCCACTAGAAAGGGGAAAGAAAACATGTGGATATTCCTCTTTGAAGCTGTTTGTAAGGAAAGGCATGGGAGTCCCCACTAGTTATAACAGTGTCCCATAAAGTCTATCGATGCTTGACGGAGCTTACGTATTACAAATGCAGCGCAAGGCACAGTGTGGACGTTAACAAACCCTGAGGTGCTTATCCATGCAGCTGGTATCCACCGAAGCCTTGGTGCCTCGTCTTTACCGTTATCAGTGCCTTGCCTAGGCTCTCTGCAGAGGCTTCAAACACATTTACCTTTTCCTGGTGGCTTAGGCACGGGGGCTTGAATGGAGTCTGGATCAAGTTTGGAATATATTCTTGATCCTTTAAAAACCATCTCAAAACTTATTTGTGGCTGTGGGGGGGAAAAAGGAGGGCTAGGGGAAAGAAGGATTAAAAGAGCTTGAAGACACTGTTCTGTGGCAGAAATAGTTATTTTCTTTGCTGTAATAATTCAGAAGATAATTTAAATTTCTGTAAACAGTATTACCCGAAAATGTTTCAAGAAGGTACTATTTTCCATGGTTCTCAGCCAACACTTCTTTCATTAATTTCACAGAATTCAGTTCTGGGGAGTACATCTAACTTACTGCTGCAGAGCCCTCCTCACCTGTCATTGCCGCAGCAGCAGCTCGTGAAGATTGAGAACATTCAGGCTAATAGTGTAAGGTCATCACTAACTCTGGCTATTTTTGGACAGTCTTATAACTGATAGAATGAATATATGTTTTTTAATCTGTTATCATTTAACAGTTTCTTGTATCCAAAAAGATTAACTGAATCTGAAAATTGTAACAGATAGCTACAGATAGATCATTTTAATCATGTACACATCTTTTGTTCTTCCTTACAGAAACCAGGTTTGCTGGGAGAACCTCCAACAATGCTGCTTCAGACAGTACTGGGAATAGGGGTGATGCCATCTGTGAGTTCGGGCATGGGAACCCGTGGAGAAGCTCATAAGTGTAAATGATGTTCTATTTCCTACGAAGTCAGCTTGACATTATGTGTCTTACTTTCTCCCACTTTAGCAAAAGCAGTAATATGTTTGAACCTTTTCGCTGCTCGGTAAGGTAGGGACAGAGCTGGACAACAGTACAAGTCATATAGCTATTCCCTGTGAAATGCCTATGGATGTTGCTGCACTGATAAGTTTTTTTCATTAAGCCGCACAATGTTAGAGGCCTCCCAGTTCGATAAAATGAAATATTTTAGGGGGAAAAAACAGACGTGCAAATAGCGTACATATATCCATTTAACTGTTATAATTCTGTAACAGGTGTGTGACTCTCTCCTTCTCCTCAAGAAATTCAGTGTATTATTTTTACTCTGTCCATTCTTAGTAGCTTTATAATAATAACTCTACAGTAATATTTTATATTGTTTATCCCCTCCAAAATAAAAATACTTAGAAGGAGACCATATAGCCCAGCCACACTTGTTATTTCTTGTGGCTGACTAAACCTGACTGAGTTTTTTTGCTAAGTCAAACAGGTATATGACTGTAAACATCTAGGAGTAAGCAGAATAGTTCAGTGTGTACGGGAACGTTTTGTGTATCCCGCACCTAAGGTCATAGCATGTAGCATTAACGTACCTGAGGCTTGTAGCATTTTGGATGAAAATCACCTTCTCTGTTGGTACCAGAATTTGACCAGGGAATGTCTTCCTGTGCCTTGAGGATGCAGATGGGGCAGCTTAGACATCTGAGGTTTTAAAGGAGCATTTAGTGACATCTCTTTCATCGATTCAGGACAAGTGAAATAGGCTGTGATCCCTTTATCTTAACTTAGTGCACTCAGAAGCCTTTGAACTATCTCTGTTCCGTTTTATGTTGAATTTTGGCATAAAAGGGTTTCTCATTTAACGCATTTATCTTCCAGACAAATCAGAGAGCAGTCATCGTATCTTGCGGCTCTTACAAATATATCACTACATTGATGATAGTTTGTGCGTGTTTTAAGCAGGAAACAAGCTTAAAGTCTGTTGTCTTGTTGCTTGGCCTCTCTCATCTGTTCATTCATGGGGGAGTACCCTGTGGCGTTTGTTGAATGTTTGCAGGTTGTCAGAAATCCCGCTTGCTCAGTTAACTACCATTTTTAGTACATTTTAATGTCTGGTCGTTGACTGATAACCAGTTTTCAATGCAAATTGCTAGGTGCAGCGATGCCTTTAGTTGTTATGAGGAAAGATCAGTTGTGACACAGCCTAGGGTATCTTTTTATGTTACCTCCGTTGAGAGCCATATGTTCTGCAGCGCGAGCTGGACCCAACCGTTATTAAATACTTTCTTAGTTGCTGCATTTTTGTTGGGCGGCTTGGTTACATCGTTAAAGGTGCTGCCATCCGTTCATAGTTCTAGACGTGGTTTGATTAATGTACTGAGCAGTACCAAATAAAAGCTTTCTTGTGGAATAAAGAAACCGGTTTTGAATTTCTAGATTTTAATTTTAGAGAATGCTTTCTAGCTGTTTTGTTTTTAAAAAGAATTGTAGTAATGCAGTTGGTGGGGGGTTATTTTCCCTGTGTCCATACACAAGACCTCTAGAGTGGTGTTCAAAGGCTTTTTGAAAGCAGCAGGAAACGCTCAGTAACTATTACGAAAGGGGATGTTTAGAATGAGTATGTTATCGGAAACACTCACAGTTTTCTTTTATAGAATTAGCTTTAAATAAAGTTGTTTGTTCCTGGGACGCTAAAAGAATCAAAACTATCATCAGAATCCAGCATTCTGAGACAGCTGTAAAATAGATCTCTAAATGTTTTTCTCAGCACTTAATAAAAACCACAGACAAAACGTACAGATAAATCTTGTCTAACAAAAAAGTTTCTCCATTTATGGTTGACTGCAGCATCTAATCTGACTCCAATTCAAACAGCAGCCGCAGCAGCAGCGGGGATGGGCATGTTGCCATTCTTTCCAAACCAGCACGTTGTTGGACAAGCTCTACCAGGGCAAAACAACACTCCGGATAAACAATCCGCTACCGAAGCGGTCATCTCAGCGGCGCAGCCCTACCATCAGACCTTCACAAGTCTGTCTGCGGGAGCCTTGCGGGCCGGACATGCCAAACAACAAAACCAGCTGAAGAGTACTGATACAAGCCTGGGGGTAAGGCACACCGAATACCAATGTTTCCTTTTCTTCTGATATTTTTCATCTTTTTTTCTTGTGTGTGGATTTAGTGCTTTTTATTTAAATATGCTTAAGAGTTAACTGCAACTGCTTATTGTAGTTCTTCACTATAAAATTTGCTAGGTCACAGGATCGTTCATGAGATACTTTAAGGTCATTTCAGTTATGAGTTATAGGGAGAGAACAGTAATGCTCTTTGGTGGTCTGAATTAATTAACAAAGGAATCTTTTTTTTCAGTGCTTCTTTTTTTCCCCATGTGTATGCCTCATAATATTTGATGATGAAATTATCTCAAGGGGAATGTCCCTTTTCAAGACTAAAAATTGAACTTACGGGATTTGGTGACTGATCAGGAGCAATTCTGCTGGTACATAAGGCCTTCGGGTTTCCAGATTGTGTTTATGTTTATATGTGTAGGCATTTTTTCCCCTTTTAATATATATCCTCTTAGCCACCGCTGACATCTTCCCAGACTGAAATCAATTTTATTATTTTTTCCCCAAAGGCGGAGGGGGAGCGGTTGAACCAAAATTGTCTATTACATGTTTTTCTGTATTTCCTGTGATTAATAGAATTTGGTCCAGACGCTTACTTTTTTTTATAATATACTTTGGCATCTACGTGGAAGCAAGCAGATCTTATTTAATTCAGATCAGATCTCTATTAACCTTATGTGTTTTCTGAAGCAGCTGAAGTGATTAAATTCCATAAGGTATTGTGGCTGTATTCTTTACACAGCTTTGAGAGATTTGGTCCTACTTCAGCAAGTAGGCTTTTTAATTTTTAAATTACTTTTCACCGTAACGAAGTGGAATTTTACATATATATACACATCTATGTTTTACCTATGTATGTTTACATATGGATAAAATACATAGAGGGGGTGTGTATGCCTAGATAAAATCAGTGTTTTAGTGCAGTGTTTCATTTAGTGAGAGGAACGTATTGTTTATGATGGAAAGTTCTTTTTTGAAATCCTGGCAGATGTTCTAATTGTTTCCTTTTCCACATCAGCAGACAGCCCAGTTTGCAGAAATCACTCCGTTAATAAGACATCCACAGTTTGTATGCTGGTGCTGAACAGTCATACTCTCTTAAATGCCAGCTTTTGTATCCAGATTAAGAATCTCAACTCTCTGTTAGAGTTTTTTGTGTTTGAAAACTGGGCTCACAGTTTGTGAGAAGGTGATGATTAATGCTATTTTTAATATTTTTAAATAATGGGATTTTTTTCTTTGAAAAATCAGTGGAATATATGTAGAGGAGGGTGCTATATAAACATCTTTGAGCTGTGTGTTTCAGACAGGCTATCCAACTTGTCGTAGCTGCTTATTTCAACCCTATTTTTGGTGGCTTTTTCCAATGCTATAAGTAAACCTCCTACTCGAACGTTAAACATAATGTTTTATCTTGCTCAGCTATTGAAACTAGTAGCTGTTGGCAAAAATTTCCCCTCAGGATAACTCTACTTTTCCTCCCCGATGAACTATTTGTCTATACCTGCAAATTTTCTTCTCTTCCACAGAGAGCCCTTCCCTGTCAAGGGGCCATAAACTGATAGCGTACACTTCCTAGGCCCTTGTAGGAAAACACTTCGAGTGGTTTGGAGACGTGAGTGCGTCCTGATGCTTCATTTCCACTCATAAACATCTTCCCCTTTAGAATAAGGGCTGGTGGACAGAGCGGTCAGTAAGGTGTTATAACGTTACGTCGCAGACATTCCCATCTGAACGTAGGGCTCGTTTGCCCTCCATTTGCTTGTGACTCCGGGTGACTGGAGCTGATTTTGTCTTGGCTGTGTACATGATGCTAATTCCCTTCATCTGTGGTGGCTACGGCAGTTATTATATGCACTTTCTTGAATGTGTAATTTTTGTTTTCATATTCCTCAGAAACTTACAATTTAAACAGACACCTTCCTAAAAAATTATTTGGCGAGAAAAAAATCGAGGCAGCGTGTCCCCAGTATTTATGCAAAAAGATTTCGTGTTACGTTTCATAGGGCTATACTTTTTTTCAAAATCATGCTGGGACGCAAATCTTATTCCTGACAATGTAGTATGAGTATAATGCATACTTGACACATGATACCTATCCCATTATTTCACAGGCTCCCTTGAAAAAACAGACCTCGCTGCTGGGAGAACCACCAAAAGAAATACGTCTTAGTACCAACCCCTACTTGAATTTGGCAAGTGTGTTGCCTGGTATATGTCTTCCAGGTAGGCAACCATTCAGCGGTTTTCATTGAAAGTTTTCCTGACCAGAATGTGGCAAATTCTTACTCTGCTTGGCAAGTGATTTATCTTTAATGAAATCATGTATTCGGTCTTAATATTGCGGTATCGTTTATGCTTTTAGTTAGTATTTTATTTGAGAAAGGGGTAGATTTTCAGAGTTCATGGGCTTACTGATGTAGATAAAGCTTCTAGAAGTCCTTTCAGTTATTTGTAACACCGTTTAGTTTTAAGCCCAGCACAATCTGAAGTTGCAAATTTCTGTTGTAATCCCAGCACATTGTTGTATGGGATTGCAACCAGGAAGCTTATGTGAACTGTGTATTATTTGTGTTATGGACAGCAATTGCCAGCAAAACCTCTAGTCCACCGCAGCAGACTGGACTTTCGAACAACGTTTTGGATGCTGCTGTGTCTCAGGGAGCTACATCACAACACGGAGCGGAAAATTATTTTAATTACTCTCAACAGCATGGGGAGTACACACAGGTATGTTGTTTTGCAGCACTTTCTTTCTTCTGAAGGCTGGTTCGTCCCTCGGAGCTCCGGTAGCAGAATTTTTGGCAAGTTGCTCATAGATTCCTCATCTTTGGGCCTGAGGTTGGCTATTGTTTTTCTCTATGGACTCTTCAATGCACTTCTCCGTACACATGTGATCTGTTAGCCCAGCGTGGAGTTGGATGATGTTGCCCAGCATCATCAGCCACTCTTCAGGGGATCCTAGGCTTTCCCACAGTCTAGACCTGTGTACGTCCTCTTCACAGATAGTTTGTGAGTGGTGCAGAAGAGATTTAGCACAAAGTACACTTAATCCCAGTCAAAAAAACCTCAGTATGTTCCCTGCTGCAGGTCATAACTGTTGGAAGATTGCTTCTCCAGAACCTTTTCTGAGTTTAGTACAGTCAGCCAAAGAATTATTCTCATATAACTTCTGGCTTGGCTTTTGTTTCTCTTCAAAACCATGAAGATTTTTCCTCTTTCCTTTCCCAAAACAGTTTTCTCGAGCTTTGGCTGGATCCCAGAGAAGAGTGTGTTCTGTAGAGCAGGAGTTCTTGTATAGCTTTGGGAATTTTTCCACTCTCTGCCAGTTGGTTTCACTGCATAGGATTTCTTTACCATATGTAGCATTTGATGATTAGAGTATGGCCATTCAGATGGAGGGCTGTCCCTGTTCTGGAGAGGCCTGACAGCAAGGACTGAATTTCACAAACATTGAGACTGTCTGTGAAATAACATTCCTGTGTTTTCATTAGCCCTCACTAGTCTATATAGAAAGATAACAGTTCAGATGATTCTAGCTGTATGCAAAACACATATGGGAAATGGATAGTAGTTCTCTCGGAGTTTCTCTGTAAGAATCTTGGGTCTACTTTGAGAGACCCCTTGTGGCTCTGCTCTAGGTCTCCTGCCCCTGTCCCTACCCTGTCCCTCCTCCCCCTCGTCAGAGCTGTTTTGCCTGGTCTCACCCTACACTGGGGAGGCAGAAATGAGCTGCACTCCTATCTTTTCCTCTCCTAGGCTGGTGACAAGGAAATCTGAATTGCTCTAAAACTCCTGACGTGGAGCAGGGCTGCTGCAAGAGTCGCTCGGTCCCCGGGGGATTGGGAGCAGGCGCGTGGCTGGGCCTGAGGTTGGCTGGTGCTCGCAGGGTCTCGACTCGGGGGGCCAGGAGGGGCGGAGGGGCAGGACCACTGGAGAGCGTGTGCTGCAGCAGGGGACTTTGCCAGGCCCTCCCTCTGAGTCGGAGCAGATCCAGTGGAAATCTGGGTGAGAGGAGCAGGAGAGATTGGCCGTGGGCACTGAGCAGTGTGTCTCACACAGCCACCTGACGTAGTCTGGAGTGTCTTGCCCGAATCTGATTATTGGCTTTAAGTTTATTTTGATGCCTCCCGGAGGTAGTTCACATCCCCAAGTCCTTGAAATCCTGCTTAAAAAAAAATAGCAGTATTGCAATATTTAGTATTATTTTTAATATCAGTAACGTGAAGGACTCGGATGGTGTCACTGAGGTACAGAGATGCCGCGGATCGTTCAACTTGATCTGTACTTCCCGGTAACAAAAACGACGTTGTACTTCTGCGTATTCTGCCAAGGCAGTGCTGCCTTGTGTATCTTTTAAGCACTTAACGTAGCTTTAAATGTTTGGTTTGAGCTTTATCACTGCTGCTAAATGTGTTTTGATGCTTCTTGGAGAGCTTTGCCTTTAATTCATTCTCATGTCCTGCAAAGTGGTAATAAGAATTGTTTTCATTTAAAGTGATGGTGGTAGACAGCTAATGGGAAGAGGTTTTTTCCTCCTTTATAGGAGGCTGTTCAGCAGTGGTATCAGCATTATGCTCAGGCATATAACACTACCCAGGCCAGAGTTGATGACTTTGAAACTGAAGCCTCTGAGGTGAGAAATAATTTTATTTTCCTACTGTCTCCGCTGGCTGTTTGTCCCATCAGCTGTGAGGATGCTTTAGGCTGCCGGGCAACTGCTTTGTTTGTGATATTGGCTGCTGCAGTAGGGTAGAAATGAAGGGCTGGGCTGTGTGGCAAGGACGGCACTGCCCGTCAGCGTTTGGGATCCTTGCACATTCACTCTTCAGGATTCAGACTCATGCTTTTGACGATATCCTCCAGAACTGTTCTTCCCCCTAAGCTCCCACGGTCTGAAGTTACCTAGGAAGTTCAGGAGTATATTGGAATACTCCCACCATGAAACAACACTCTGTAAGACGTTTCCCAATGAGTCTGTTTAAGGACTCCCAGGCCATTGTATAGCCCTTGTGTTACCAATGCTTTTTTGTTGTTGTTGTTTTTTAAGGAATTGTGTAAAGTAAAAAAACAAAACGTTTCTGTATGGTGCTCAAGAAGTTGCTGCATGCCTGAGCTGCTCTGAGCTGTACGCGCTTTCTTTTAGCAGCCGAGTGCGATTCAGATATTTTCATATCCGCTGACTGCTCATGACTATACCAACTAAAAATGTAAACCTATTTTCTTTCAACTGGTTTATCATGGATCGCATTCTGCATTTAGGAATCTGTGGGTGGATCTCACCCAGACTACGGTACCTGCCTGCAGGTCCTGCCTACATTTTACACGGCAGCCCAGGGGTCATACCAGCCAGGCAGCTGGCAGTTTCCTCCACAAAACCCCCTAAATAAGGGGGAGGAGAGACTAAGCAGAGGGGCTGCAGATGCAGCCCAAGCCCGCTGCTGGCAGAAGTCCTTCTTCTTTGTCTTATGCTGCCACCGAGTGGCTAAACAGTAAATGAGATGTTTTTGGAGGCCCAAGTGTGTCAAAAGTTGCTTTCCTTCCCCCAGCCTCAGAGAAAAAACAAAATAATACTTTTCATAGACTTTTGACGCAGGGCAAGCCAAGGGAGAGCTTTTCCACTGCATCATAGCTGCGCTAGTCAGGGTCCTGCGTCGTTCAGCATCACACGAGGTTCCTGGTGGATGCGATAAGCGGGAGCAGCAATTGGGCAGGACACGTCGATGCTGAACCCGCTCGGAGCCCTCCAGCGCCCTGGAGATCGGTGCTCAATTACTACCACCAAAGCCCCCGGGTCAAGAAAGGTTGGAAGTTTGTGAGCAAAGTTCTTGGAAAGATGGTGTCTGGGAGGATGAATGTGCGAAAATGCTTTTAAGTAGGTAAGTGAAGAAAGTAGAAAGTAAATGAAGAAGGAGGAGGTAGTTCTCACTGTTTTTTAGATTTTTGTCTGACTTGTGGACAAGGTCTGTGTTTGGCAGTGAGTGCCTTTGGGATAAAAATCTCCAAAGTGAAGTTAGCAAGTCGTGGCAGCAGGCACGTTACCTTCAGGAGCTGTTTTTTACTACTGTTAACTGGACCTTGGGAGGGAAAAACCATTTTTAAGTGGCTTTCATTTGAAGTATCCACCAGAAGTCAGATGCAACCTACTTCAGTCAGACTCACCGAACAAAGCTTCCTTTGTCAGTTGGCCCCAGTAGACACTTTGTTTTCGTCAGTAAAACATGCCAGAGGGATGAGGAGGTGCTGTGGAAGTAGAGAGCCAGTTTAAAGGAGGCCGTAGAGTCCAGACTGAAAGACCGGTTTAACGCAGACCAAGATGATGGTAATACAAGCTTTATTTGGTCTAAGCACAGGTCTTCCCTTCTTTTTCTTGGAAGTTTTGGGGGATACAGACTCTCATGCCCTTGGTAAATCACATGGCTCCCATTTTTTATGGATGAGCAAGACCTGAAACGCCAGATTGTCATGTGTTTTGCAGTGGCTGCAGGGCAGCGTGCTGATGAGCATCATGAGCTTTGCTCCTTGTGAGTCCGGTCCCGGCCACGCAGTCATGAGAGTGATGGTGGTCTCTGAGAGCCTCTGGAGGGGAGCGGGGCCAGCTCGCCAGCCCGGCCGCTGCCTCCAGGGTTGCTCAGCAGCCCGGCCTTGCACGCAGGTCTCGCACATTGCCGTGTGAAACCCTGCTGTGATACAGGGGTCAGTGGCAGGATTCATGATGTTCTGGCATTAGAGAACTCGCATCTGAGGCTTGGCATGAAATCCCTGGTTTTTGGAGGAGATTTAAAAGGAACATGCAGCTGTAGTAATTCATGATTTGTGGACAGGAGACAAAGCCTGGCTAGAACCGACTTTGACGTGTCTTGGAATAAAGGTGGCCGAGGCGGAGCACGTTGCCGCGTACTGTGAAACCTCTCGCGGCGGGGCAGCAAAAAACTGCGCTTTCAGATTCCAAAGAGCTATGACATGACTGGTACCGAGGGAAACTGTAACAGCACTGAAAAGAAAGAGATAGTCTAGTGTCTGCGTTAACTGCGACTTTTCAGTTTATTTCCAATCCAGCGAGGAAAGCTTGTATGTGAAGATGATGTTAAACAGCTTGCTGTGAAGTTTGTCTTAATGCCAGATTCCATAAAAGGTAGAAAGAGAGCAATCCCTTGGCATAGACTAAGCAGATGTATGATTTGCCTTGACAACTAGGTACTTTTCTCATTCCTAGAATTAAATGATAAATCTCGGAAAAGACGATTTGCAAAACTGATCCCCAAAAAGGCTCCGTGTTGTTTAAGACTAGGGGGGTGCTTGGGTGTCCGCTCACGTTAGCCCCACTGCCCGCTGTTCTCCTGCTTCTGTAGCTGCATTTCCCAGTCGGAAGGAGCACGGTTGGGCGTTGGTGTGAAGCAAGCTGGGGCGATGCCATAGGCTGAGCGCAAGCTGGTGCGGGGTGGTGGACTAGCTCACCCCCTGGGACAGGCGCTCACAGGAGAGAGAGCGAGAAAAAAAAAAAAAAAAAAAGTTCCTTGCTCCAGCAAATTCCTCCTTACAATGATGACAGTTGCACTCTAAAATGAAATACGAGGCCAGCAAAGGGTAACGTGAGTTGTGAGTGTCACCTAGCAAGCGGTGCTTCAGAGAGCTGGCCAGAGAGGAGCGGCGAGGCTGAGGTGTTTAGTCAGCGTAGCTATTCTTGTGGTTGAATTAAGGAATGAGAGTTTCCCAGTTTGTGAAAAATGTGTCATGGTTTCTAAAATATTAATTCCGGCGTCAAGCAAAACCTCAAACTTTCTGAGCTAGTAGCCAGACTTAAACCCACCTACTCAGTGTGGCTGAGTAGGAGGTGGAGAGACCCAGGGTCAGGATGTAATTGCAGAGCAGACGATACTTAGCCAAGCCTTTTGGGAATGTGATTAGTGACCCATTGGGGAAAGAGAGGCAGAGTGATTACGAGTCGTTAATCAGGGCCTAAGTAAGCTGTAAGGTGTCTGTAGAGTTTGCGTGTCTGTAGGGGCAGGAGTGCTGTAACTTGCTGCCCTGGTGGATCCCAAAGCAGACTTGAACCTGGGCCTCGCGGAGCCCCGAAGAGCCCCGGCACTGGGGCAGGGCTAGGCCACTCGCACCCTCGCTAGAAACTTGATCTCAGGCTCTCGAGACTTTTTTCCACATATTGGTGTGAGGCATTTTAATTCAACTGAAGGTTTCATTTAAAAGAGACGTTACCGCTCACTCCTTCACTTCTGTATCATGCGTGAGTTTGTGGCTGCAGGTGGTCAGAGGCTACCTGGTGGTCGACACCTCAAACCTGCCTTGGTGTGGCTGCAAAACAAGTCCTTCACAATCTTATTTGCGATGAGAGCTGTACCGTGAAACTCATGGTTTCGAGTGAAAAGATTTGGGGGCGGGGGAGGTAGCCCACTGGTGACTTGCTTTCAGGGATGAGCACGTCTGGAGCTGCACTGACGCTACAGGGTGGCAGCATGGCCATTAAACTGCCGCTTTAACTGCGCCCCACGGAGCACGGCCACCTGCCCCAGCCATCCGGTTGCCCTCACAAAAACGCATGTACTGCAGCACACCACTGCACGCACTTAGGCTTGGTTTTACAGGGAAAGGGCACGAACTCACAAAGTGACTCATAGGCTGCGTATAGCTGTGCCGTAAAGCCAGCAGCGCGGCGCATTTGGAGTCAGGCCCTGGCTCTTGGTGCTTGGTCGTGCCCAGACCGGAGCTTTATTTCTGACGCTGCTCGTTCGGGATCACGTATCGCTTATTTGCTTCTTGTCCTTAGGTGGCTCCAAGCAGAAGCGAAAAACGAGGCTCTTCGTACCTCATTTCCTCGCCAGACCCTGGCCCGGTGGAGTACATGGGCCAGCAGATTCAGGGCTCAGCAGTACGTTACGCAGAAGCCTCTCTTAAAAAAAAGCGTGTTTATTGAAATTGAATCCATCAGTCCTGCCTTAAGGCGTCAAGGCCGTCGTTTCATACCTCTGCTCTGTATTGCTGCCTTAGCTTCAGACAATGCTTCTTTCAGTGCGGGTTATAAATATCCCGAGGAACAATCCTGTACAGCAGGCAGATTTGCCAAGTAAACTGTGTGCATTGATAAGACATTAGCCGGGTCGCGGTAGCATGACTTGGCCTTCCTTAAGGCTGGGCCGCTATTGCTGTTGTTGTGTAACCGCCGACATACATCAACAGTGGTTGGAAGCTCAGAGAGAAAAGTAACTTGGTGATTTCTTGTTTAGTAACTTACCAGCGAAAAGCAGTAAAAATACTGAGGATGGCCCTCGGCTCCTTGCCCTCATTTTCAGGCCGAGGAAGTTAGTTAAAAAAATGATGAAGTCTTAGTAGTAATTTTTGAGGTTTTTTTTTTTTTTTCCTTAAACGCAATTTTTTTTTTCCAGTCTTGCTTTTTCCAGGATTAAAAGAAAGACCTCTGCATTTACAGCCTTTATAGTTTTAATATTTCTTCTTAATCCTGGAATGAAGCGCAACCAAATGTATTACCAGGGCTCTGTGATGTTTTCAATAAATGTTTGTTTGTTAAAAGTAAAGTAAGATACTATACGGTGTGCTGTCTTGCAATATTAACTCTGCTTTGAACAGCTAGATGGTATTTGGACTGAAGAGTAATCAATCATCTTTCTTTGGCTGCACTTAGGCGAGACTCTACAGCCTTTATTTGGAGTAAGTACCTTACAGGTTGTGAATGCGTCTGCGTATGTTGGAAAGCACTGAATCAAAATAAAATAAAATAAAAACTAAAGCTGCCTCCTAACACTCTCAAAGAATTAAATTGGCTGCCCTTCTGCACCGGTCCTCCTTCCCGCGGCGTGCCCAGGCAGTCGGGCCAGGTTGGTGGAACCGCGCGGGGGCGCAGTCACAGAGGTGCCACATGGGCATCGTGCCCCGGCGTCTTTTTTTTTTTAAATAACTTTGAATTTTTTTCTCTTATTAATCAAGCAACTGCAGCTAGAGTCTTTCTTTTCTGCTGTACGTCCTTGTAGCCGAAGACTTCGAAAGCATTATTTTTGGTATCAGTGTTCCTGACAGAGAAGCTGTGAGCCAGCCTTCTGTAACGGACCCGCCTGCAGTCGCCTCCTTGGACCCTGCTGCAAAGTGAGCTGGACTTAATTCCTCTCGCACTGAGGCCACAAGGGCTGGCTGGCTAACTTAATTGCTGTACACAGACTACTGAAGCCATTTTTAAATACTGAATTTTTAAAAAAAAGTCTTAAACTCTGCATTTTAAGCTTTGTGATGTGACTAAGACATAAATTTTTAAACTTTAAAAAGAAAGGCCCTCGCTCCTTACAGCAGCTGCTGTATTGCCTAGACCGTATGCGATGCACAAACGGGCAATAATTCCTTAAGCTGCTGAACAGCAATGCATTTATAGCTGTTGGGGTTGTCTGGGAGTCTACAGGTATGTACTGAAAAATTCACTTGTAATATTATGATGTTCAAACTGTTTGTATATGCAACTTTCTCAAAGTGTTACCCTTTTCAATGACAATAAATTGCTGGTGTATTTAGCGTGGCTTTCTGTGAAATGGCAACATCTCTGGTAATACTTTTTCCTTAAGGCTGGGCCGCTATTGCTGTTGTTGTGTAACCGCCGACATACATCAACAGTGGTTGGAAGCTCAGAGAGAAAAGTAACTTGGTGATTTCTTGTTTAGTAACTTACCAGCGAAAAGCAGTAAAAATACTGAGGATGGCCCTCGGCTCCTTGCCCTCATTTTCAGGCCGAGGAAGTTAGTTAAAAAAATGATGAAGTCTTAGTAGTAATTTTTGAGGTTTTTTTTTTTTTTTCCTTAAACGCAATTTTTTTTTTCCAGTCTTGCTTTTTCCAGGATTAAAAGAAAGACCTCTGCATTTACAGCCTTTATAGTTTTAATATTTCTTCTTAATCCTGGAATGAAGCGCAACCAAATGTATTACCAGGGCTCTGTGATGTTTTCAATAAATGTTTGTTTGTTAAAAGTAAAGTAAGATACTATACGGTGTGCTGTCTTGCAATATTAACTCTGCTTTGAACAGCTAGATGGTATTTGGACTGAAGAGTAATCAATCATCTTTCTTTGGCTGCACTTAGGCGAGACTCTACAGCCTTTATTTGGAGTAAGTACCTTACAGGTTGTGAATGCGTCTGCGTATGTTGGAAAGCACTGAATCAAAATAAAATAAAATAAAAACTAAAGCTGCCTCCTAACACTCTCAAAGAATTAAATTGGCTGCCCTTCTGCACCGGTCCTCCTTCCCGCGGCGTGCCCAGGCAGTCGGGCCAGGTTGGTGGAACCGCGCGGGGGCGCAGTCACAGAGGTGCCACATGGGCATCGTGCCCCGGCGTCTTTTTTTTTTTAAATAACTTTGAATTTTTTTCTCTTATTAATCAAGCAACTGCAGCTAGAGTCTTTCTTTTCTGCTGTACGTCCTTGTAGCCGAAGACTTCGAAAGCATTATTTTTGGTATCAGTGTTCCTGACAGAGAAGCTGTGAGCCAGCCTTCTGTAACGGACCCGCCTGCAGTCGCCTCCTTGGACCCTGCTGCAAAGTGAGCTGGACTTAATTCCTCTCGCACTGAGGCCACAAGGGCTGGCTGGCTAACTTAATTGCTGTACACAGACTACTGAAGCCATTTTTAAATACTGAATTTTTAAAAAAAAGTCTTAAACTCTGCATTTTAAGCTTTGTGATGTGACTAAGACATAAATTTTTAAACTTTAAAAAGAAAGGCCCTCGCTCCTTACAGCAGCTGCTGTATTGCCTAGACCGTATGCGATGCACAAACGGGCAATAATTCCTTAAGCTGCTGAACAGCAATGCATTTATAGCTGTTGGGGTTGTCTGGGAGTCTACAGGTATGTACTGAAAAATTCACTTGTAATATTATGATGTTCAAACTGTTTGTATATGCAACTTTCTCAAAGTGTTACCCTTTTCAATGACAATAAATTGCTGGTGTATTTAGCGTGGCTTTCTGTGAAATGGCAACATCTCTGGTAATACTTTAAAATCAATCAGAGACATAACTGACATACAGAAGAACAGGTAATACTGTAAAAATAAATCTGACCTGGTTGCAGCTCATAATTACATAGGGTTTTTTTTTTTTATATATATATATTTGTATTCAAAGACATCTTTCAGTTATTGCCAGAATTATTTCCTTAAAGCATTTTCAAAATCCAGGTTTGGTGGGGAAAGCGATAGTGCCCAAGTTCTTGGACAGGGTCAGCAGTTTAAGTAAACGACTGCTTATAAAAGCCTGACATTCACAAAATGACTCCAGTGCCCTCGCTTGACTGGTACACAGTTTAAATGCCAAGTAAGTCCGGTCCTGACAAAAACAAAACAAACATGTCCCAGTCTGGCCCCACTGGGTGCTGGCTTTTACTCTCATTAATTGAATACTTCTCAATTGCATGTTTTGAGTCTGTAAGGCAAAGTCAAGTCACATGCTAGTATTAGTTAAAGCATAACTGCTTGTGTAACGCAAGTGACCAGTCTAGCTCCTAACCTCACTTTTGCCCTGATTTCATTACAGAAAATTGCTAAAATCAATTTACATGTTGGCCAAAGAAATGACTGACATCACCACCAACCA